GAGAGGAACTGCTATGTGACATCTCGATCGACGAAGTCGGAAGCCATTTTCAGGTCAAGAAATATAGGTTGTTTCGGGCATCGGTAAATATGCCAGTCTTCTAGAACCTGGCGGAGGGTACGTATCTGGTCGATACACCCACGTCCAAATCTAAAACCGTCCTGGTCTACTCGGATTTGTTGTCCCTGTGCTCCACTAAGTCATCTAATAATCACCGAACCTAGAATCTTAGACACTTTGTTTGTCAGGCTGATTCCCCTGTGGTTATCATAGGAGGGCTTTTCACTTTTCCTGAAGGCTGTGACAATCAGTGATTGAGACCAGTCAGAGAGGGTCACACCTAACTTCTATACAGTAGCTAACATCAGTTAACGTGACCGATAATTGGTGATTACCTTCCTCAAATACCTTCGATGCCAGTCTATCCTATCTCGATGGTGTTTCTCATTTCGGATTAGCTACAGCTTTCTCGACTTCCATAAATGTTGGGGGTTTTACCTTGGTATTCCATTCATGGTCCTGCTGGATAGTAGACAACGGAAGAGTAGTTGGAGATCCAGTTGAATTGTTCCTCGAAGTATTCCACGCATCGTTCCAGTCTTCCCTCCTGCGAGTGAATCACATGCTCATACTTTTCCCCTACGGTTTCATTGACCGTTGACCGTTTTTTCCTGGTCTGCCTAGTAAGTCCAAACATTTGCCGACTGTTATCTGTCGTCGCTACCTTTACCATCTCTCCAGCCTCCGCTGTCCACCACTGTTCAGGGTCATTGCATAGACATTTCGTCAGCCTGTATATGATATGCTTCCTCTCCTAATTGAACTCGGAGCCCCGCATCCAATAATTTAAAAGTAGCTGCCAAGTCCCTCTGGGCATATCTTACCACTTCTGAGACTCAGTAAGGTCTTCACCGGTGTTTTCATAGCAGACAAGAGACGGTACCAGGCTTCTTCTGGATGTTTGATGCTCTTATATTTAATTCTCATCTACTTCGATAAATGTCTAGCCAGTTTCTCGCTGAGTGCAGCCTGAATATTCTCATTATCAACCAGCCCTCGCAATGCTTTTTCTGTTGTAGTTTTCCTACAAACATTCAGTTACTGTTCATACACGTGCTCCAGAAGAAGCGAAAATGTTCAGTCGAGCCTCTCTAGTGATAAGTGATATCAGTGTTGTCTTTCCGTGTCCACTGAAGAGTTGAAGTTGGTGGTTGGCACGTCAGACGATATCTCTTTATGTTCAAAGTTCATGCTGGACAAAAATAAATGTTTGTCTGATGAACACGGTTAACGTAGGGCATCGCCATTATCTGTTCGTTCGGCTGGAATCCCGAAAGTCCCACCTCACTGGCTTTCTGTCTGACTTAGCCTACCCACTTATGCATTAAGATCAGTTGCAACGGCTACTTTGTCTGAAAGTTCAGCTTTCAGTAGGAGGCTAGACAGTTTTCGGTAGAACTTTTCATTCACTTTAGCTGAACTGCGGTCTGCGTAAGCAGAGATTACAAAGGGACAACATTGTGTTTCACTGAAACTTTTAGTCCTCCTCGGGCCGTTCAGTTGAACAGTACGTAGGAGGCTGTCAAATGGATTCCAGTAAAGTAGTGGACTTTCTGCGCTAACACTTCATGTCGTGCTTAGGCCAGCTCGACATGATAACTAGGTATAAAATCCTCAGAAAATTAAAGTTTGCAGATTTAGCACATTGACAGGGTGAGGTTTAGTGAATTACCACGCTCTGGTCCTTGAGGCTTGTCTTGCAAACAGAGCACACATCTATAGCCTGAGATGGCAGAGTTTTGGCTAACAAAACTTGCTGGTCGATTTGATGGAGAGTGTCGACATTTGAATCTCCAGTATGTACTCTAGAATGCGGTTTCAGGAGATCAGGAATTCTGTTCCGTGAACTCAGACCGCTATCACCGATGTTATTTTGATATGAATATTAGCAATAAATTCTGATTAAAGTGTCATCTAGTAAATTATACTGTATCACTGTGTACCGCATCAGGTAAACAATCTAATATGGAAGCCACCAAAACTGTAGATCTGGGGAAATGGTAGATGAAGTAGCAGGGTTGATCAAGAGACGTGAATAATGATTAGAAGTTGGAGATATGGAAGATGGATTGTGATCCGAGGAAACCTGGGTGCTGACAGAGTTGTGTGGGTGGTTCACAATTGCAGGCTGCCCAAACCGTTGAAGGCTATTTCTTTTTGAGATACCTGAGCGAGAAAGGTTAGTGAGTAACCGCAAAGTCCAAGGGAAACCTGCTTGACGCAAGTCACACGGCCATTTTAGGAGTTTGAGTTTAAAGTTTACTGGTTTTGAATCCGACAATGAAGCCATATCAATGGCACAGGTTTACCGCAGGGTAGCAGGGAGTGTGCTAGTTTTGGGGCCAACCTTTTCTAACACCGTTCCTTTTTTCTCATAGGGAAGGTAGCAACACTGTTGGTTATCCTCTGGCAAATACCCTACCACTTTCACACTTCCATGCAGTCATCTTCACAGCTTCACCCTCAAGCCTTTTCCACAGTGTAGCAACTTACACTGCAATGGTAACTACTTTTTGTCTAACCACCAGGAGACCTTTCTGGTATAGTAGGACGTTTAAGAAACAGCCCTTCCAGCCAAGCAGAGTTGGTTGGGTCATTGTGACATTTAGGTTCGACCATCACGTCAATGTAGCGGCTATCTATGAGTCATGCGATTTAAAACTCCCAACTTCATACAGCAAAACGCATTCTTGTGCTTATTGTTCGTATATTTTAAGAAATTTGAGTCGTTTGCGTATTTCATGTCCATTAAGCACCGTAATTCATAAAAACGAAACAACCAATTTCATGCACAAAAAGTGAGATAATAGACAATAATTGAGGCAATTATTTTAGAAATATAAGTCATAAAAGGATGAACTAAAAGTCAGTAGGATGCTCTTGAACCGAGCTTTATTACCAAATAAGTCACGAACAAAATACCTTTGAAAATAGAAAAATAATACGACCGATAATACTTACCGAAGATCTACTTTTTCCCCTTGTTTGTCCGACGTTGTGGTTATCTTTTTTCCAGAGTGTATCAATACTTGTTGAAAGTGAACTACTATTTCCTTATTTTCGATCTTTGAGAGATTAAAATAACTTTTAATTAGTTGCAGGTGGTATATAGAGGAGTTGACTAAAGCGGGGATGGTATACCTACCCCATTTATTCCAATCAATCTTGAAAATCCTACACAAAAACTCAGTGACATTCCATTCCACCTCTACTTTTGCCATTTTCCGTTCAAATGAATTTCATTATCGAAACGGATAGAATTTGTTATGTTGTAATTTGCTCTCATAAACCTAATAGGACCTCAGTGGAAACATCATCAATCTTTGGTATATCCAACTGATGAGTCCCATTCAGGAAGAAACGCATCTTGTGGATTCCACTGCTAGCCACCACTAAAGAAATTACGATGATGAAATCTGTTCTCTTCTATTATTAACTTCATGCAAGTAATCTATGGCATAAGTAGAAGGGGAAGTAAAATTTCGAATGGCCATGATGTTTACCGCTTAGAGTATAAAGTGTTTGATGGCTTGTGATAAGTCAATGATGACACAGAGAATGATAGAAGAACATTCATAACTATTTACCAGACTGTCTGTTTAGACTCAATAAACCATTTATTTTTTTTCACTACACCTTTGCTTGGCAGATTTAAAAGGTATTTCGGAGCACGAAAAATTAAACTATTACAGCGCAGGACAACATAACTGACTTCATAAGAGAAAATGAATCAATAAAAACAACAAAAATTATCCAAAGCAGTTACTTTATTTTTTAGCCTGTAATACACAAGTGGATGTGTAAAAACACTAGCTGCAATTTTTCCGCATTAAAAAAAATCAACATAATCCTCTTCTGAAGTCTTTTCATTAGAACTAAGATAACTTGCTGTCTGTAAACAACTTTCTACTTTAAAAATGAGCATTTTGTTGACAGGCTTTGTGAAGGTCATGTTTTATCATCCACCTTCAGTTATTTTAGCAATAAAGATCCATCTACCGTCACCTGTAACTGCATCTGTTGATTCACCTCTCTTTTAGTTTATATATCCTATTCTTTAGTCACTATGAATACACAAGGTGTTATTTATAATAATTATATTTTGACATTGAACTTCATATATGTATCAAATACATTTCCTAATGAATCTTGTTTTACCTATGACTTATATGCGTTATTGTTTCTGCCTTGTAATGATTCTTCGTAAATTCTGAGCTGTATGTAGCTAAAGAAAGCTAATAAGTAGAAAGATAATCTCTTTGTATTAGGTAAATCTCTTTCCTTTTATTGTACGATAGTAAATATCATGACCAGTGTTTATCCTTCTTACACGTAACTAAGTTTGTTTGTGACATATGGCTTAACACTCTCCTGGTAGACTGTTTCTCACACTTATTGTTGAATATGCATGCTTTGCATCATATTGATTATTCTATAGATTTTAGGTCACTGGATCAGTTTGAGTAGTTGTATATTTATGCTCATCTAGAATTGCTTATCTAGGATTCACAATTTCTTGACGAGTCCTTTCAGGAAACATACACTTTCCTACACGACTATGATAACATCTGACTTTTATTTACTAGACTTGATGTTTAACAACTTCATTGTGTTTATAAATTATTTAATATGGACAGAATTCCTTTTGTATTATGACACAAGTAATGAATCTATTGACAAGAATTATTGTTTCACAGGATCAATCTTTTTTTGACGCTTACATAAAACTATTTTATAGATACTGAAAAATAGGTATTTATATCCATCTTTTATAATTTCAGGTACAATTTACAATTGCATAAGTCAGTTTATTTCTGTTTGGAAAAAAAACTAAGATTGATATTACTTAGAAGCGAACATATAACAAATTCACATAATAGTTGACATTAACAATGAAGATGTTCTGCTTACTTCAAATGATTTTTATGCTACATTGGATAATGCAAATGTATGAAGCACATCGTATATGGAAACAAGAACTCAAAATGCCCGATGTTCATACTAACGAAAAGGATTCATATGTATGTGCATATTTTCAGCCACCATCACTAAATGAAACTAATTTCATTCGAGAAATTCTTCCTGATGCTAATCGTTCTACTGTACATCATATCATTCTAAAAGGTTGTTCATATCCTGTTAAAACAATGGGTCAGCTACAACGTTGTGGACATTGTGAAACAGTTCTGTATGCATGGGCTATGAATGCTCCACCATTACGTTTCCCATTAGGTGTTGGATATCCAGTTGGCATAAATGCACTAATTAAAGGATTTGAAATGGAAGTTCATTATTTAAATCCAGTGAAATTTGATCAATCTGGATTAAATTAGTCGTTACCAATCAAATTCAACCCAGAGTAGCTGGTGTATTTCTCTTACTACGAAGTGATGCAGTAATACCACCTGGTAGAAAAAATTATCCCGTAGATATATCATGTCGGTAAGTCCCGTCTATTTAATGGCACTTTATTTGCTTTTTAAGCAGTAGGCAGACAAATAACAGATGATATCATATTAAAATTAAAGTTTTGTCATTCTTAGTTAACAGTGTATTTTTCATCAGAATCTATTCAAACTGTGCTCTACTTTAGCTCATATATATATTGCAACATTCAACCACTGGTAAAACTTACAAGATTTATGTTAATTTGGAGACAACATACACCGAGTCCATAGTACTACAAGACAGCAATCAACAACCAGGACGTATTAGGCAACTAATGTCATTGATTATGCCTTCCCATTGTTTACTGGTTTCTACTGATAACTCAATCTTAGTTTGTCTAATCGGCCCTTAATGCATGCAACAGGAATGACTTAGCATCTATTCTGGATACGTGGAAAATCCTACTATCCATATCACAAAGGGGGACTAGAAAATCATATTTGTATCAATCAATCATGTTTCAAAGTTGTGGAGTTATATTGATATGACTGTAGACAATAATTTGTGTCCGAAGGGTAATCCAGTAGATAATACTGTTCCGCTGTGTAATAAATCTAATAAGTCAAATAAAATGGAATTACATTCTATTTTAGTGCCCAAGTTTTACTCTTATACTAAGCGTTTGGACTGATACAATCAGCTAAAGTTGGTATATGGACTCCCGTGTGGATACTTTTGCATTGCCCTTAATTCCAGTTTGTTGATGGCTAGCGTTGGGATCTGGGAAGTTTATTTTGCTTTCCGCAGAACTTGTCAGTTGGTCGTATCGGTAATCCTTTTTTAAAATTTGAAGTACTTATGTAGCTTGTAACATTCCTCCTCCATATCTGACATAGCGACCTGAAGATTTGCGGGAATTATGTATTATTATTATTCGTTTCTTGGGTTCCTACTGGAACATAGGGCTTCAGTAACACGTCGCCATTTCACTCTTTGTAGTCTTCTTAACCTGGCTCCACGACTACCCAGAAGCTTTCATTTCTTCCTCATACCATCTCCTCCATGTTACTGTCGGGCGCCTACCTCGTCATTTCCAATTCGGCTTCCAATCGACGGTCTGGCCTGGCGCGTGATGTCCTCAATCGGTCTTCTTAGTGTATGCCCAATCCATCCCCACTTTCTTCTGCATATTTGTTTGGCGATAAGTTCTTGGTTGATTCATTGCCAAGTCAGGGTTCCTTGTTGCTTATTCTCTCTGGCCATCTGATCTTCAGTATCAAGTGAATGTCGGCGGCAGCTGTTGATGAATGTCTGTAATTTGTTGGAAATACTTTTAGTAACGCACCAAGTCTCTCAACCATCACATTGTAGCACTGCCTTTACGTTAGTGTTGAAAATCCGGATCTTGTTCTTTATGCTGAATGTAGTGCAGTGAAGTGCAGTGCAGTAAATTTCCACGCTGATTTCAGGTCAATGAAGGCCTGTCTTGCTGTCTTTCAGACCCTGCTTTGATATTCTCATCTGTGCCGCCTGTAGTTGAAACGATGATGCCTCGGTAGGTAGGTAGATGAGAGATAACATCCTTTAGATTTCTCCTGTTGATAGTGATTATTGCTTGTTGTTGTTGTTTTTGGTTGGGTATCTTCATCATCTGTGTCTCCTTTACGTTCACTTGAAGTCCCGTCTTCGATTCTCTGCCTCTTCTACCAACTTGTTGGTTTTCCCCTGTAGATCTTGTGTGACAAGAGATTAGGCGTAAATCATCGGCGGCGAAATCTAAATCTTCTAGGCTCTTTTCACCGGTCAAACAGTGTATGCCCATCTTCTCGCTCCTCCCGGTTTGTTGCCTTTTCAAAGTCAATGAAGCTGAGGTAAAGAGCTGACTGCCATTCTGCGATGTGTTCTATGATGATATGTAGCGTAGTGTAGCGTTGCAATTTGATCCGCACATGATTTGTTTTTCCTGAAGCCAGCCTGTTCCGGTCGTAATTTTGAATGCAGAGAATTTTTATTCCTTCCAGGATGATGTCGCCTAATATTTTACTTGGGGTGGATAGGGACAAAAGCATGAATCCGCGCCAGCTTTTGTAAAGGCTTAGATCTCCCTTCTTCGGGAGTTTGACAAGGTAGCCCTTCTTCCAGTCAGTGGGCAGGTACCTTTCTTTCCTTCTTTCCAAACCTTCTGCAGTAGTGGTATGAGCATGTCCGCTGTTGTCTCTGCGTTTGTTTCAGTGCTTCTGGCGGAATTCCAACGGGTCCCGCTGCTTTGCCGGATTTCAGAAACTTTATGGCCTTCAGGACTTCCGCTTTTTTCGGAATGCTTGTGTTCCGTGGCACTTCTAAGGTTGTTGATGATATTTCTGGACGTGTTGCAGATGGTGGGGTGGTCTATTCAAGAGTCTTTTGAAGTTGTCAGCCCATTATTTCCTTTGTTTCTCCTCTTTGGTAACTAGGTTTCATTGGTTTCATCTGTGTTGATCTCTCACATCCCAGACAGTAACCTGGTTATTTGATACAATGTTGTCAGGTCTCTCCTACCTGCAGCCTGTTCTGCTTCCCTTGTCAGTGTGTCGTAGAAGTGTCTTTCGTCTTTGCGCGCACTCTTCTTCACTTCTTTGTCTAATGCAGTTTCATAGATTGTAGTCAGTTCCTGTTTACGTTGTTCATCCTTGCACTGGTTTATCTCTTGCTTCACCATCTTCCTCTCCCTGCTGTATCTGCTTCCACGTGTCCGTCGAGATCCATTCCTTGTAATCTTCCTTCTTCCTTCCTAATACAGTAATGCAGGTTTCTTTCCACAGCTCTTTTAAAGAGTTCTAGTGTTATTCCAAGCGCAGGTTCCTTCAAGGGTGTTGCTCAATATTTTCATCATTTTGTCCCGATGACTGACGTGAAGATGTCCTTTGTAGTTTCGTCCTTCAGTTTGTGTTCTGAGTGTTGAACTTGATCCGCGGTCTGTCATCACCAACTTCTTTGAAGGCTTTCAACTTGATTTTGAAAGTAGGTTCCTTGCACTAGATAGTGAGTGATGTGAACCTACATCTGCTCTCCTTCCTGATCTGATCTGATAGTGTGACCAGTAGACTGCGCCTCCACTTTCTTGAGATTGATCTGGGTTTTAGTGTGTCCATCTGATGAAATCCATGTCACTTTGTGAATATCCTTGTGTTTGTCCACACTGCGTCCAATCACCAAATCGTTGAATATGCAGAAGTCTGCAAATAGTTATCCATTCCCACTCATCATTTCACCGAGTATTTCTCGACCCATGACGAGTTCTCTTCCTGTGTTGTCTGCTCCCAGTTTGGCATTCATGTCACCCATCCATTGGAATTTTGATGTCACGATCTGGAGTAGGGTCTTGTCCAGTACTGAATGCAGTTGTCTGTAGAATTCCTCCTTTTCTTGATTTGCATTATTTGTTGGCGCCTACTGTAGGATTGTATGATTGTGACGTTCCATGCTTTTGAGTTGGATCTTGCTGTCATGATCCAGGAGGAGATTGATTCCCACTGTATGAGAGCCTTCGATGCTGTTGGGGACGTCATGATAACCACTCGAAAACTCAGTGTGCTCGTGATTGTCGTCTGGGTGACCGGAGTAGATTATTGACTCCTCAGATGACAGTTTGGAGAGTCCACTTCCATTCCATCTGCAGACTCCTCGCAGATTCCTGGCACTTCTATGCTGCATCTTCTTATCTCTTTGGGAATCTGGGCAGCCTCGCTAAGTCCGAACATTGTTTGGACATTCTATCTCCCCATTCTTACTTTTGCTTTCATCAAGAGAGAGGACACATCGGCCAATCGGCTTCTCTAAAGCTTTCACCAACGGGCTTCATTCCGTCTTCTCGATTCCACAGAGAAAGAAGTTTATTTTTATTTTTTATATTTTCTTTGTGCTTTGAAGTTTTTATCGATTGGATTAGTTATACGGGGTAAGGTTGCTAGCCATATGCCCAACCTTCCCTATTTATTTGGGTTTCGGACAGGCTAGTAAACCAGACGAGGTTGAGAATTGTGTCGAACATTCTTATTTGGAAACAGCTGTTTATCAATGCTAACACTGTTTATCAGTGGAAAGGGGTACCATCACTAGAGCTAAGTGTTTATCCATAAAACTCCTACATTTTTTTAACCATGCAAAGCTGACAATATTTCAAATTGAGTTAATGTTTTACACAAAAACCATGTGGTTCAATAAAGTAATGATTTTTATCGCATTTTGAAGGGATTCTATCTTGATATTTTTCTATCATGTCATCAGCATGAATGAATTTAACGAATATTTTACTTCTTTCTTCCTGAACATTTGGATTTTCGCTTAGTCGTGCAAACTCAGACAGAGCAGATATTAAGTTAGACAAACCTCTAGGTAATAAAGATGTACCAATCTACGGAGTTATAAGTTCATCGTCACTGATTTCGAAAGAGTTAATTCAGTGTTAGACGAATTAAGATTAAGTTGTTGACACTAAACCAAGACATCACACATATCCAAAAGATCATTGGCTGTTTATCATACCTACGTAGAAAATGTAGCACGTTTAATGGAATCCTCAGAATATTAGTAATCAATAGCAGGAGACTCTTAACAATATAAATGAAAATAAATCAAGGTGGTGTAGATGAATTCATTCTCCATCATCTTCAATGTTTTGAGTATTTTATTGATCGTGATTCGCTTGCTGTTGAACTCCTGTCATAGTCCCTTGTATTTAAATTTTAATATCATTCTATCTTTGCATATTTTCTCTTTGCGTATTGTTTTCTGGTGGTGCAACTTTAAATGATACAGTTCTGTGCAACATTCTTATACTTGTTTCATCTGTCTTAACCTTTACTCCTTTATACAGTAGATATTCGATGTCAAAAAGTTGGTTATAACCATACTCCTTTAAAGGCCAGGGATTTACTCAACCAGTCGAAGTTTTTTCATCTTCATTACTGTTCATTTATCAGACAGAATTTCAGGAGTTTAGGGCAGTCTAAATGTCTGAGGGTCATTTTGTAGCACGAAAGTAACACAGCATCTTTTAATCGATTTCTTTGATT